CCCTCAGCCGGAAGACAGATAGCCCCTGACTTCTGGTTTCCTCCTCAGTGGTACTGAATACTGCTACAAGGTCTAGGAAAATGGGAAGAGAGGAGGGAAAAGTCTCTGTGTGGTAAACAGGTTACCAGCGGTCTCGGAGCACGTTTCAGAAATGACAGGAAAACCGGCGGATTATCGGGAATCGAGGCGCAACGGGTAAGGAGGACCAGCCCCTCTTGCACCGTTTCTTGCTCTAACTGGTACCCGGCAACCCTGGAGCCCTTGACTTCCTCTTGCTTCACCTCACTTAACCTTGATCCTGGGATAACCCAGCTATTTGCTTTCTCAGATCCCACTCGTAGAGGTTTGAAATCCAGGCAGTCTGAAAGCAGGGACCACACACTTGAACTTGAACTGAACTGCACAGGCGCTGGGTATTCTGATTCGGTTGCGAAGAGATAAAATGAAACACAATGCTAATTAGCAAGACACAGATTTTCTTAAAACTAGGGTGAAGGTGTACATCTCTAAAGGCACCAATAGGGAAGGGATAAGTGTGCACGTGAGTCCCCCAGGAGTGAGGAAAGGAGAGGGGAGCAGACACTCAGGGACTGGAAGCTCGGAAGGCTGGATGCCAGGTGTGCCCAGGAACCCAGAGAAGACACACACAGAGCCCTTGGTTCCCAGGTCCTGTTCCAGCACCTGCCTTGCAGGTCTCGTACAGACAGAACTCAGACCCTACATGGACTTCCCTTACCTCTCCAGCTCCCCATTATCCCCAGAAATATCTGCAGCCCACTCCTAATCTGAATACAGGGCTACGCCCTCCCACGGTACCCCCCTCCCCCCAGGAGTACCCACTAATTGCCAGGTCCACCTCCACAGGGCCCAGACCTCCAAGAGCCAGGAAGGAAAGCTACTCCTTTTCCTCAATGAAGGAGCTTTTGCAGGAAGGCAACAGGCCCTTGAGCGCAGGCAGCCCTGTATGCAGGAACTGCAACCCTCCCAGAGCTGGCAGGAGTCCTCCTCAACTGCCTATGCAGTTCCTGCAGGCTTCCTCCCCATGAAGCAACCAGCAAGTCCCTGGCACTAGGACCCTGCAGACAGGGAACCCTGAGCCTGCGCCCTAAAGAGAGAGATGCACCATTTCACAACTTCAGCAAAAGCAAAGCAGCCAACAAAGCCACGGCCACC